TCATTCTGAAACTAGAATACATAGTGACAAGATGAACAATTTCTAAGGAGTTAAGCATGTTTAAATATATGCATAGCCATTTTTCTCCTGATAAGAGTCCAAATTTGTGGCCTAATTAAAAAACTAGAGAAAATGGAAGTTTTCAAAATAACAAGAACACCCTTTGCAAAGATTTAATTTCCACAGCATGTGTGCTGCTGGCTGATAGGCTTCTGTAGAGCCTCTCAAGGTGGTTAGAACCTTCTATGCATAAACACCTTTTCTTTACACAACTGTACAACCCCCCCTTGCTTGCCCACACATGTACACACAGCATGGACATTTCGAAGCAATTTTAATTTGTTAGTTTGTTGACTCTAAAACTAAAACAAATAGCTTCATTTTGTGAATTCTAGGTTTGTTATTGTTGTTGTTTGTTTTTTATTCTCTATGGATGATGGGTGTATATGTGCATGCCAGAGAAGAACATTGGGTGTCTTCCTCAGCCACCTGCCTCCCTGTTGCCTGGAGACAAAGTGTCTCAAGCTAGGCTGAAGCCAAGAGAGAGGCACATGCCTCCGCCCCGAAGTTCTACTGCAGAAGGCACACAGCCGTGTTCGGGTCTTGATGCTAGGGCTCCCTTCCCCTCAGGTCTCAGTTGCACAGGAAGTGCTCTTCCCTGCTGAGCAGCTCCTCAGCCCCAGCTGGATCTCTCCTTTGTCTTTGCTTTTGTTCTGTAGCTGTGTGGTTTCTTACTGTGCCAAGCACCTTTACAGAGCAGCTTCTGAACCCCTCTCCAGGAGAGGAAGTCGTCTCCACTGGGCATGGTCGAGTGTGCCTCTGAGACCAGCCTCCCTATGCCATGAGATCTGTCTTAAAAACAAACAAACAAAAAACTTTTTGGGGCACGAGGAGTTTTTTTCAAGAACTCACGCTGTAGATCAGGCTGGCCTTGAACTCAGAGAGCCACCTGTCTGTGCTTCCCTAGTACTGGGATTAAAGGCCTGTGCCGCCACCGCCACTAGCCAAAAGGAAAAAATAATTTTTTTTAAAGCGCCAGTTTTAGAAGTACCCCCCCCTTAACTACATTTACAATCATTTTTAAGGTCTGTATTTGCTGCCCCCCTGAGCCAACCCTAACTATGTTCTCGTGCTTAACTTCTTCTGATTATGAGTTTTCCAATTTATTTTCATACTACTTATGATTACTAACTGATTAGAAAAGTGGCTCAGTGGTTAAGATTGCTTATTGCTCTCACAGAGGACCCAAGATCTGTTCCCAGCACTTAAATAGCAGCTCACAACTACCTGTAACTCCACTTCCAGGAGATTCAACACCCTCTTCTGGTACCCAACACCCCCCCCCCCAGACACATACACATAAAGAAAAGCCATAGGAGTCGTTATATAATAGGATAATTCAGACTAAAGTTCGTAGTATTCCTTTAGAAGGTCATTCTGGAGGCAGTAGTTGGGGAGAGGACTGAGTGCCATGGTGCTTGCTCTCCAGTGTCTTGAGAATGGAATCAGGCTGGCCTCTGTCCAGCTTCCTGGGGAGCTCAGCAAAATAAGGCCAGGTTCACAGTTTGCTGCAGGAAGAGAACAGTGCCCTGACAAGCACCCTCCGAGGGAAGCAAAGTCCTTGTGTGCAGAGCGTTCGTTCCACTGGTGAGGTCAGGTTGAGAGAAGGTCCCCGTCAGGCACTGGACTGTTGAAGAGTTGGTAGGCAGCTGAGTGGTGGGTTCCAAATTGTTCCACGAACACTTACTACTGTTTAGTTACCTGTTTCTTACTCTGCTCTTGCTCACTCAGTCACTTTTTCTTGAGTCAAGTTCTCGCGAAGAGCCCAAGCTGGCCTTGAGCTTACAGTTGTCCTGTGTCATTTTCTCAAGAACCAGGACTACAGGAGTTTGTGAGCACACCCAGCAGCCTTCTGTTCTGGAGAAGGTTTTCCCTGCGTTAGTTAACCATCCTGTCGCTCATAAATAGGCTCTTCCAAGGCACCTAAAACAAATGTCTGTCTTGGGAGGGCATGTGGGACACGGAGAGCTGACTGAGGAAAGCCTCCTGTCAGTGACACACTGTCACGGTGACAGTGAACTGTGGGACACAACCCCCCAACTTCACCCTGCACCTGACAGTGACAACAAGAACTCTGCCCTTGGGCTTCTCTCCATTTCCCAGAGCCCCAGGCCCGGGCTCATGTCTCACTGCCCCAGCATTTGTCCTCATCTCCAGAAGCCACTGTTGCTCTGAGTCTATGTGATATAGAAACACCCCTCTTTGGAAACAGCTTAGCATTCAAGGCTCCTTCCTAGTTTTTCCATTAGTTTATTTGAGACATATCTAATATGCCACATAAATTCATTTTCTGAAGAGGTTGCCCCTTTTAACACGTGCTTTGTGTTCATTAAATGGCCAAACTAAAACATCCTTACATGGTTGGTGTCTTACTCCAAGAGCCAGAGTTAAAGTTTAAGGTTATCATTACTGGTATCAGCCACTGCTTCCCACTGTAAATGGCTTGTGCTTTGCCTTCTGATAGCAGTGTTGAGGGGTTCACAGGCTTGTGGCCCCAGAGGCTTGGGCCCAGCAGGTGGGGGAGGCTGCCTAGAGGAAATGCTGCCCTGGACTCTCCTGTCTGTGATCTTCATGAAAGCTGGCTGGTCTGTGTGGCTAGACAGTATCCTGAGGCCTAAAGAGAAAGTGTCTGCCTAAGAAATCTGGGCCTCCCTATCTAGGGTTTTGAAGAGTTAAAAGTAAATGAAAGAACATGAAGCAGGAGTTGAAAGTCATGTTGCCTCTCAGTTTAGTTCTGCCTCACATCATGATGTGCCTGATGAGTAGCGGAAGCGATTTTGGGAGCACAGGTCTTGCCCTTGTACAGAGTCAAGACAGGCCTTCAAGCTGTTCAGTCTTTAAGGCAAATGGCACTGCTATGAAAATAAACTTTAGAATGTTTACAATCGAACCTCAGTGATTCCTTAGTCATAGTACTTTATTTTGTTTTATTTTTTAATCAAGCTTTACATTTTTCTAATGGCTTAAGAAAGGAGCCCGTTTCTTTGCAACTGTTCTTCAAATCTTCTTTTAGGGCTCTTTGACAGATCTGATGGTGGTAACCAGCTCATTCCAAACTCATTCCCGGGTAGTAAATCAGCACTTGACACTCCTTGG